GACAGCCTCTTCAGTCTGTGTATTTACTGTAATCATACTAACATCCGTGGAGATGATTAATTCAAGGAAAAGGATAATTTTAAGTATTTAAAAATAAGTCAAGTGGTTTGAGTAGATGTTTTCTTTGGTGTCCAGTTATTCAGGAAACATGATGAAGGCAGGCTCTGCTCTGTGTCGACATGATCTGTGTGTGTTTGTGTGACTGTAAACTCTACAAATCCATCTCTTCCTGGGAACAAGAGTAAAACAAATCTGTTTTTAAAGTGCGCAGAGCTCAGACGATGGCTGGTCCTGCCGTGTTTGGTGATTCTGACTGAGAGCAAATATTTGTTCAGAGTAAACATCTCAGTTCTCCACTTAATGAGACGCTCATGTAATCTGCTCTCAGTTTAGCTGTAATAATAAAACAGGGAGATTTGTGGCCGTTTGTGTTTTGTTTTGAAAGGAGAGTTTTCAAAATAAATGTTAATCTGAGTGTCGTCACATCGATTAGAACGTAAGACGTGTTTCTATGAATACAGGACATGTGTTTTTAATCAGAGTGAAAAACGTCTTTTTGCTGTTGTTGAGACATTTGATCAAATATGCCTCCATTCGTGGACGGATGAGTTACAGTTTAGTTCTCACATCAGTGGGAGTTCTCGGCTGCATTTCTCTGATTTTCATGTTTTATTCATTGACAATGTTTTCCAGCTGCAAACGGCAACAACTCATTTCAACATTTGTAATTACAGCACAAATTGTTGTTTAATGGAGCCTCGTGTTCTCTGATACGTTACCTTTTCCATCCTGCTGCCCGTTTCCAGGTCTTTTTATTAATCACTGACGTCTCACAGTCGCTGTCCTATTAATGCTCTCTGTCCAGCTCATGGCTGGTAGATGCTAGCCTGCAGATGCTAGCAACTTACCATAGGACATTAGTGACTAGCCTGTGGATGTTGGTGATTAGCCTTAGAATGCTAGTCACTAGCCAAGGAATGCTAGCACCTGACCAAGAGATGTTTACAATTAGACCATAGATGCTAGTGACTAGCTAAGCAATGCTAGTGACCAACATAGGAATACTAGTGAATAATGTAGAAATGCTAGTGACTAACCTGGGGATGTTGGTGACTAGCCTAGGAAAGCTACGGACTACCTCATTGATGCTCATGACTAGCCCATAGAAGCTAGCTGCTAGCCTCAGGATGCAGGGAACCAACAATAGGATGCTAACAAAAGGCTCCTCATAAGCCTGGGAATGTTAGTAACTAGCCTAGGCATGCTAGTGAATAGCCAATGGATGGTAACAACTAATCAAAGAATGCTAACAACTAGCTCATGGATATTAGTGACTAATCTAATGATGCTAGCAAAAAATGCTAAAACGGTGCTACTGACAAACATGCTAGAAGCTAACTGAAAGATACTAATGAGTAGCACACTGATGCTAACTGATACTAACTTAGGAATACTAGTGATCAATGTAGGAATGCTAGCAACTAGCTTGTCTGACAACAGAAACAGGAAAATATGTAAATATCAGAATCATAACAGTGAATTGGAAATTCGACTGCATTAAAATGGAGTTTATGTGAGCGCAGAGCAGGACAGAAGCTAACAGATGTAACCCATCCAGTCCTTGTTTACTGGTTTGAATTAAAGCCTCCACCATCTCCAGTGTCCCTCAGTGTTCCCATTTCCACAGAGCTCTGACCTGTGGCCACACCATCAGAGCTAATGTTAGCCACGTTAGCCGCATAACGTGCCAACGGTTAGGATTTTCCTATTGTTGTGAGGACGTTCCCACCAATAATAAAAACAATCCACTGGGTGTTCAGTCCTCGGGTGCTGGCAGTGCATGAAGCCGCTTGTGTTCACTCCTGCAGCTCTCGAAAGTAAACACGCTTGCTGCTCATTCTGATTGGTCCACCTGGAAGCAGCGAGGGGGCGGGGCTATGCAAAGCTGAACCACTATTGGTTGTTCAGGTGTGAGGTAGCTCGGAGGCTAACTAGTTGCGGCTAACTTTACACCCTCAAGTTTCTAACAACGACAGAACACAACAAAAAGCGATTTTCAGTTTCATTAATTTGCTGAAAATGGCACAAAAAAGGGGTCTGTTTGTTCCCACAGTGTTGCCTTTTCTCGCTGTAAATGACATTTTAGTGTTTTCTTTTGATCGTTCTGTGAGCTCAGTGATTAGCTTCATCCATCTTATCTGCTGCATGAATCGGCTGCTTGTTTAATCCTGTCAACGTGTTGCTGTGTGCGTCTGCAGCCTCCTGTTGGCTGTTTGTCGTA